AGAGATATCACCTAGGACAACAGTAAGTATGGTGCATGAAGGAGAAGTAACTGAGAAAAATTGTTCAATTAGTATTACTTCAGCTCCATTGCACTGAAAAATAAATACATAGTTTCCAACACGATATTGAAGATCGTGGATATAAACAAACCTCAGATCACCATAGTGACATTTGTAGATTACTGACTTTTTTTTTTACTGATGTATTTGTGGAACATGTTATCAACTGGGAAGAACAAACTTTACCCAGTATCGTATAGATATCAAAGATATGCATCCTGAAAATCAACTTTCCACAGGCTTTCTTGGAGTACCAGTTACATTCTCATCACTGGCTTCTTTTGGACAGAATAATTCAACCTTCAGAGAGTGCTTGATTCTTGCCAATAGTCAGTGCCTAAAAGAAAAGAGGTTCTGTTTGAATTTTAGGTAGAATTTCATTGATGCATTCCTGTTATCATGTACATTTGTTATCACATTTGGCAACTGAAAGTTTAGTTAGACGATTATATTTCAACATTAAAGAAGACTTGTATGAATGTTTCAATACGCTATATGATTTCTGTAAGATGCTAGCTATTTGGACGCGACTGATGGAACTCACATTATGTGGTTTATAGTGAGAACAGAGCCTGATTTACAATAACAATATTTTAGTGCTTGTTTGCATGTTTTATACCATAGCTGAAAATTTAAGTATGGTATCTTAATGTTTGTGTCAATTATGACTGAAATTCAAATCGTTTGATAGCTTTCATAGGTCCTGGGAAATGACTGTATATGAGGGTCGGGGGGCTCTTCTAATCATTGTTTCTCCTCTCACCCAAACAGTGGAAATTAAGCTGACATAAATGGTACTACATTCATCTAGTTTTGAAGTATACTCATCAGGGAACAGCATTATGGTATGTTGACATTGCAATCACTTGGTGACCATATGAAATGGTAAATTCAGTGATAAGAACAAAAAAAATTGATTCATACAGCTAAAGCACTGTATTTATTTTTATATTCTTTGGTAAACACAAATGGTATGAACTTAGCCTAGATTGAAAAATAGCTATTCTCATGTACTGTGTGTCAACAAATGCAAAGTTTAACTAAGTTCAAAGCTCTACTTTACTTTAACTCACACACGTAAAGATGTAAAAGCAATAAAGACAACTTTGGAAGTGGTCACTGTTATGTTCCCTGGAGTCAAGAGAGCATTCATCAGCTTTTGCGCTCATTGAAATGCCAGACAATTCTACAGTCTTTGCAACTGTTGTACAATTGTCTTTTATTTTGGAGTGCCATGTGGAGTGTTGTTTTCACAATCAAGAGAGCCAGGCGATTTACATACAAGTAGAACCATTATGTGCATGCACGTTAGTAAATTTTAGTTTTAGAGCAGTGTAGAAGATTGCTGTAGCAGAATGCGCTTTGATTTAGATGGCACTTGTGAAATATCCATAGTCTGAAAAGCTTCAAAGTATAGTTGGGATATAGATTTTTCCTAATCACCATTTTATACTAAAACATGAACTCTTGACATTTCTCAACATAGGTTGACCAGTGATGACAACATTGCTTTCTTAACACAAAAAACAGTTAACATTTTCAGTCTTACTTTACATCTCGTGTAGAGTGGAAGTGTTATAAATTTGCTCAAGCAATTATGCTTTAAGCATTATATTTTTTCTCTACAAAATCATGGGAGACAATCTAGATTTTATATTCTGATGGGTATGATCTTTCTCTTCCCGATTCTAATCTTCCATAGTATTAAACCATTAGAGGAGGAGGTTGAAGAGTAGGTGACGAAGGGTACAAGTGATAAATTCTACTAATGATTTCCCAAAATCACCTGGAGTTATATCAGAGACCATGCCTTTGTTTTTGTCATCCAGTGGTTTCAGTGCTTCATTTTCACCAATCCATATGTACCATGGGTTTCTATTAAAGGGAACCATTGAAAAACACACAAAACATGTAAGTATGCTGTTTGCTAATCCGAATGATGTTAGGAGACGTTTCTTCATAGACATGAAATCTCCGCATACCCTTGGTGGAACCATGGCCTGAACTAATTTAAGAAGTAAGTTTCCGAGTGAAAGGATGGTTTCAAAACTATACAAAAGTGATCCCAAGAAGGCCTAGTTGGCAAGAGGTGTCAAATCAACAAACCTGAAAAGGGCATAGTCACTATCTTAACCAAGAAATATCGATAGATTCTGGCAATGACCATACCACTTGAAACCATCAATGTCAATTAGATACTACCAGAATCCTGACTATTAATATGATTCAAAAGAGACGAGGCACTGGTTTCACAACTGCAAGACACAAACAATGAAGTGGGCAGTGGCATGGGAGTTTACTCTTTATTGGAAAGATTGGTGACGGAAAAGGGGTCGAGGGCGATTACGGGGTAACAAGGAACACTGTCAGATCCAAACCATATTCTCAGATACAAAAGAAGCTTGTACAGGCCATGAAGTATTCCAGCAGATGGCGTAAGAGAGGAAAAAATAATCAGTGGCCCAGAATGACCTTCTTACTAGTATTAAGTAGGCCTGCCAGAGCTCCTGTATATAAATATGAATATTTTGTACATTCTTCATTTATTTATTTTATTTCCATTTCTTACGTGTAACGTATAGAAATATCCTGTTAATATTTTTATATTGTAAATTTACCATTTTCTTTCTAAAACGTTTTATGTTTAATCATGTTTTAAAGTGTTCAAATTTAACTGTATTATAAAATGTTTTGTTTCATGTTGTGTATTATAATCACTGAGGTTTTGCGTTTCTTTTTTCTTCTGAATTTTGTGTTTTAAAAGCCTTTATTTTATTAGATTTAATTCGGTTTCAGTTCACTTACTTCACTTTGTTTTGTAATTTATTTCCATTTATTCTTTCTCATTCATTTGTTTTTGTAATTTAAATGTTCACGAGTTAAGTGTTATCCCGTGTTATATGTCTGTATCTTTTCTGTTCCCTCCTTCCACATGTCCCCCGATGGGTGAGCAGTAAGTTTAGGGATTTATAACGCAAAATCGGGGGCTCGATATCTCAAGGTGGAGATAGCAGATACCGCAATGTAACTTTGTGCTAAGATAAACACAACAAACAACCCACTTATTTATTTTTGATTGATTTAGTTTCTTTCCAAATATGTTTTTTTCTTCGTGTGTATTTATTTCATTTAAACGGTTTCCATGTCTTATTGCATCCGATAAAGGTTTTTAATATTGTATTTTGTAGTTTAAGTGCTTATATTTTATTGTATTCTGGTTATTGTAAGTAGTTTGTTATTCAATTCTTATTAGGAAAATGTTTTATATTGTACTGTATGGTTCATCTTGTGTGTTACGTCATTGTGCTGTTCCATAATGTTTACATCCACTGTAACTGAGGGTGGTTAATTTAATGTGATTTCTCCAGATCGCGTTGTGCTATTTAGTATTAAGTTTAACTTAACGTCGGCTTGAGGACGAGCCTATGAGAAAGTGTATCTTGCTTGCAGTCTTGGCAGTTTGAAGAGGAGATGCACTATAACCTTAAAGAAAATCAGTTCGTCTGTCTGAGAGAGCCAAGGCTTGCTGTGAAAATTCTGTCTTTCGTTCACTATATTCTTACTTGTTGATCATGTGTGCTGCAATTAAACCTTTCTTAATGGCTTACATTAATTATATTCGGTGTATTTCAAATCCAACTTGCTTTAAGAGGGAAACTGCTCTGCTTTTATTCTACCTTCAATATCATGTCTTATTTCATCTGCAACAAATCACCAGACTTGTTCTTTTGCATCTTGGATCCACGTTTCGATGGAGATCTAGTGACTATGATATAGATATATCCTTGAATTATCACACATGTAAGAAAAAATCCGTGTTACATTTTTCGTAAAATCATATAAAGGCGAGAATTTAACGTGAGATTGTCAATTATTTTATAACCTTCGTATTAATTACATGATCAATTGGAACCGTATAGAATATGGTTTAACTGGGTGTTGATATTGAAGATTCGCTATTTTTTACGTATGCAAGTTATTAAGTTTGCACAATAAAACACTAATATAGAAAGTTCACCATTTTAGAATTTTAGAAGCTGATAGAAATACTAATTTTTAAAAGGAATTTCGGGAGAAAATATCATACACTACGTAATTACAAGAGTGGACTGTGAACTATATATCATAGACTAAGTACAAGAGTGGTCTGTGAACTATATATCATAGACTACGTATTTACAAGAGTGGACTGTGAAGTATATATCATAGACTAAGTACAAGAGTGGTCTGTGAACTATATATGGTGATTGTCTGTCAGCTATAACATTTACTCAAACATTAAGAATAACCATTTACACGTTTATTCTTGGTTACTACTAAAAAAAACAAATGTACTATACATTTTGGGCCCGTGGGTTTGTTGTGGTGGTCAACTCGCACTATTTGATCAGATAAGAGCAGCACAAACGTTTGTGTTTTCTGCTGTTGACTTCTGCTGTTTTTCCTCAGGTATGTAAGTTCAAAATTATTTACAGCTAGCCGTTTTTCAGTATCTTTTCGCGAATATCAGAAATCAAACAATTCAAAGTAATTTACAAAGAAACTGTTGTATCTTTACAGCATTTTGATCGCTGATATACTAATATCATTCAAATTTTATTGTTGCCCTTTGGAAGTATTTCATAACATTTAATTAAAGAAAAAAGGCCCCTAAATTTGCAGGAAAAAACAAACAAAAACAATAATTTCATATTGGTTTAGACACTAGGCCCACGTCAGCTGTAGATATTTCAGCTATGACTTAACTGGTTTTAACATTGTATTTCTTTGTCGAAGTAATATGGCTTTTCAAATATTATGTTTCTTTCTCTCTAACTATTGTTTGAAAAACTACTCCGAGAAAGTTGTATAATCCTATGTGGTTAGCGATATACTTCTTAGTGGTTTATAAATTTCCGTTGTAATATTTTATGAGCAAGGAATGTATCTGTTTGATTTAGATATGTCACACAAAAATTCATCCTGTCAAGTATGCCAGCAAAAAGTGCGAAGAATTCTCCACCATCCTGAATAAATTAACGAATAACGGTGTACAAGCTCGTCATAATAATAGTAAGAATAATTTCTTTTTTTTCTTAGAAAGCAATTGATCGATATAATATGCGTTTATGTTTAATTAACTGACTGTATAATATTAATGTCTTAGTTCTGGTTAGTATTAAATTAAATGTATATAGTTTGATTAACTGGAAATATATTGGGTAATATATTACAGAATTTTGTAGTAAAGGTAATTTTATGTTAGTGTTTTCCAATATAGAAATGCAATAAAATGAACGTACACATCAAACAAATAACACATTCAGTTGAGGATAACTTAAGGTATGTATCAAAACGTAAATATCTATGACGTTAATTATGCTAAATGTTTTTTTTAATAAACTTCAGTAAATTATTTATTTAGTTCATAAAATAAGTAAATAATCCAAACATTCCGTCCCAAGACTACACTATATTGGGTCAGATAATGTCGCACTATTGCTGTGCCCATTAAGTCCTCAAGGTATACTATTGTATGTAAAACGTTCCTGTTTCTCCTGATTACATCTGTATATTATTGTTTGTTGTATAGGCAGCGGCCTATGTGAACAGCAGACAACAGTCAGAGAAAATCATTCCTAGAATATCGCGCGTGTTCTTAATATCTTTGTAGCTAAGCAGTGTCCTAGATGACAAATGTAGGGTATAGATAAAGAAAAGCATTCTGAGATATTGTACGTGCTGAATAGATTCGTAAATAAAATTGTTTTTACTATTTTAGTTTTAACATATAGCATATATAGAATTATTGCAATAAAAGCAAACTATTTTATATACTTATAAAATGTAAGGATTATAGCCCCTACTTTTAAATGGAAATTAAGTGTGACGCCAATAACTGTCCAACAGCAATCAAAATGACAGTATCTAGTAGGGTTGACTTTTTCTGAACAAAGGTTTTCGAATTGGTTTGTTATGAAGTATACAATTGATCTTGTATCATCTATCTAACTCATTCCACCTGATGGCGAATACTTTAATCAATATATATTACTTAAAAAAATTAAATTTACTAAAATAACATTGGAAGCTTCACTTTTTTCATGTCCAATATAATTTAAGTATAATTTCGAGTGTAATACTTATTAATAATATTCGTATCTCTTAACATACAAAATTACAGACTCTCTCTCTCTCTAGATATCTTCAAATGTTCTCATCTACTAACATTCTCAATACAAACATTTTTATGGTAAACGAAGGGAACTGCTTCACCTGCTTACTAACTATAATATACGTTATAGGTCTGGCGTGGCCCAGTGGTTATCATGCCGGACTGTGAACTAAAGAGTTCATAGTTTGTTTCTCATTGCAGCAAAATTGTTCTCCTTAATGAAATTCCAATAATCAATTAAAATAACAAAAAAATTTTGTTGGGTGCTGTTAACTTAACTGCCTTACGTCTTAGTCTGTCAGATACCCTTTGAGTAGCTATGCACAACTATCCAAAACAAACACTAAATATACTTTTTACACAAAGGGTTGAGTAAGTTATATTATACTGATTTTGAATATGCAAAGAATCAAGTAACGTAACAACCACAGCAGATATGAAATTGCGATGGAACGGCATGTATCAACAGGATATGTTGACATAGTTTGCCGTTTCATAGGTAGCATGATGCCGCCAAAAATGTATCGTTGTTGGGAACGATATGTAACAGCTCTTTCCAATGCAAAATCTCAGTACATTCAGATCATAGAAAGTTGTTCAGATCGGGGATCTTGAATTTAAAGTAAAAAAATATACACTTTACTTGATGGCATTGGAAACCAAAAATAATATAGACCAAATAGAGATACCAAGAACATCCAGAAAGAAACCTGCAACAAGTCGTATTTCAGATATGAATTAAGTGGCTATTTTTTGATAGATGAGAATCGACAAACGTAAAGGTCAATGTCAGAAGCCATCTATGTAGTCCATGTAACAGTATACACCATCCATGTAGCCCATGTAACAGTATGCACCATCCATGTAGCCCATGTAACAGTATGCACCATCCATGTAGTCCATTTAACAGTATGCACCATCCATATAGCCCATGTAACAGTATGCACCATCCATATAGCCCATGTAACAGTATGCAACATCCATGTAGCCCATGTAACAGTATGCAACATTAGAAAAGTGACACAAGCCGCGTTATGCAAGAGTCTTCTATAATATGTCCATTCAACTGTCGCATACCTCGTGAAGCTAAAAACTGAAACATGTATTCATGCTATTCAATAGGACAACATACCGGTTAAGTTACCAGACGCAGTACATATGAATTTATATGCGATCAAACTTTTAAAAATGGTCACTAAGAAACCGTCCTCGTATGCTAGTTTCATATAGATAGCAGTCAAGAAGGAGCGACGTGCTTTGCGATGGAATCAATTGCAATTGAAACTGCGCTGCAAAGCTCTTGTCAAGATGCACAGACATCAAATAGAACACTAGACATGGAAACGTAGACTGTAACAACGTGGTTGGGCTTTAAAATAATTTTATTATAACGTATTCAACCTCTTTAGAATCTGTTCTCAAATACAATGGTATGAAATACACTGTAAATGAAGTACAGTGAGTTGACTGATTTTTTAGATGATTAAATTGTCTTAAGATATTTCCATTATTATACAGTAAACTAAGAGACAGGGAAGTACAGAATTGTTATTGATCTCAACTCGAAGTATTACGTAAGTCACTTAATTAAACTCTTGTACTGAAAAATCTCTTGAGCTTTGTTCCATTTTAAGTTTTTTTATTTTTTATAATTCTTTTAACAGACATAAAGTGGCAAGCATGTGCAATATTTTGCAAACAAACAACAGGAACCTGGTACACTCCTTCGTTTGAACTTAACAACATGGATATTGACACGTTTTTCCCTGAGGGAACATGGTGTCATAACGACGGTACTCATGATTATTTCTGTCAAAATCGAGAATGTAAGCCCTCCGTCAGAGGACGCTCCCTCTTCCAAGAAGAAGAAGCTAGTGAATTTGAAATCCCAGTTACAGACAATGTTAACTCTTTTTATGAGATCGAAGATAACGATGACTATGTAGATTTTCAAGATAACAATTCAACTATCCCTCCCATGACTACTGGCAGTCTCTGACTGACGGCAGAAATATTCAATTGATCGCTGTGCTGAAATATGTATTATTTGAATATTACGGGAAATGGCAAACAGAACGAAACTGTAATTTATTGCTTATTTTTTTGTTGAATAAATTTTTGAATGGCAAATTGGATTAAATATACTATTATATATAAACACACGAACACATCATGAATAACAGTGACAACGTGTCAGGGAACGCCACCTTACAAACGCACTTTGACTAATAATAACATGAACGTGGTTAAATTCGTTCAGGCTTATAAGCACAAGAACACTTCGTAAATAATAGTGACAACATGATAATAAGATATCCAGAGAGTTAATCACATCTGAATGATATATTCTGTCCCATGTTAACCTAGAAACTACTTTCTCTATCGTCCATCCTACTCAGTTCAGTCTGATAGTCATGATTACACCACAATATGAACACCTGAATACACCATGAATAACAATGGCAATATGTCAGGGAACGCTACCTTGTTCCTTATCAAAACCTATTTCATTTTAGTGTATCTTCAACATGAAACAAGTAAAGAGAATTGAACATACGAGACAAAAAATATGTTTATGCTTGAAATAGTTTTCCTATTTATTTCATAGTTTTTTTTTCTTTAAAAACAATTTCGGTAAATATAATCAACACGTTAATTTAAATAATAGGAATGGCATGTGTATAACCAAGGTTCGCTGTTAGGTCAATAACATATTTTTTGAAATATTTTTTTTTATTTGTAAAGTACAGTTTAAATGTTATTGGCATATATATATATAGTTATGATGTACAATTTGAATCAAAATTCAATGTATTTTATTTGCTTCAAGAATATATAAATCATTAATGGATGTGTGATTCAAACCCTATTTCCTCAAGTTTTGTTCTTGGTTTGTTGGCACAAAGCTACAGAATGGGCTATTTGTGCTTTTCCCACCGCAGGTATCGAAACCCGATATTTAGCGTTATAATCCTTCAGGCTAACCGCTGACTCACCGGAGGGCTTTCCTAAAGGTATCACAGTAATAACTAAAATGTATTTACCCAGTTATCACCTAATATAATAGTGTCAGGGGTGTAGAGATCAAAGAATTTTAATATTTTCAAAGTATAGTTTATTTCTAATTCTTTACCCAATTTTTTTAAGTGTGAGCACTTGTACTGAAGAATATAGAGTTTTCAGTATGGTTAGTTGAGTAATTACATCTGTTTTAGGAAACAGTGGAATTACTCTCATAAAAGTAGAAATCTGAAACTTATTTTAGACACTTTTTGTTATTACCTTCAACATCTTACAGTTTTATAAAATATAACAATCACGTTTACATGAGATTAAGAACCTTTTGATTGTTTCTTTTTGCAGCTATTTTGTATCCTAAATGGTTTTCATAAAGTTAAAAAAGTAGAAATAGTTGTTCTTTGTTTGGATGATGTTATGTGGTTCATGTAAACCAATAAATAAACTGTTTAAGGATGTTGTAACAATCTTTTAAACTCCTTGTTCTGTAATTAGAAAAAAAAGATCATCTATAATTAAAACTTCTAGACTCTTAACAACATGATAATATTTTAATTATGTAAACTTGTTTTATTGTCTAAAGAGCATAACACACCAGATTCAATGGTAAGAAATGCGAACTAATCATTATAAATCAACAAAATTTATTATTTTGTTTTCAATTAGGTAAAATATATTAATATACAAAGTTGTTACAATATACCACAACTCAAACCTTTTTCAATACAAAATAGAAATATAATTAAAATATACTTTTATCAAAACAGTTTTGACGCCACACTGATGCCTTGCATCTAATGGACCTTGCTCTTCAGGATTTGTGGTCAGGAACAGTTTGATGCACATCAAGTTTTTGTTATTATAGTTTTAATAGAGTTAAATATGCTAGTGAATTAAAACAAGTAGAACCTATCCAGTAGCATGAGAGATCATGCATACATAGGCCGTGCTACTGTTCTGTGGACATCTAGCCGAAACTTGCTACATACCACACGAGACATACGTTTATATGTATTTATGTAACGTACAGTATTAAATTCGATTAATTCAGTATATATTTAACTTATTTAAAGTATCGGTAGATTTAGTATATAACATTACATTTCTTAAATACTACAAATTACCTTGGCCAAATGTAATAAACATGATACATGAAACTTTGCATGTAACAATTCTACATGTACTTTGTTGTTTAGTACTTCCCTGAGCAGGTTCAACCTCCACATGTGTCCTTGGTTAAAGAGAAGATGTCCATATGTTGACTTAACAGAATAGTCATGGAAACGTTTTGCGGTTTGAATGTCACTCATGGTTGTTTCTAATTACAGTTTTAATGAAGATTTTTAGCAACCCTTCTGATAGAGGTTATTAAATAATAAGTAACTGTTCATTTTCTGTTGAAACAGCAAAAACAAAAGAAAGAGATACACGTATATGATATTTAATCTACTTCCAAATCAAGGCGATAAACTTGTTTGACCTTTGTGCTTTATCTACTTTAAATCTCTCAATCTTTCTATTTACCACCAAGTAATTAATAAGTAACTTATATATATAATTTATATTATGATAAGCCACTTGCAAAATATTAAACTTGTCGTAACTAAAATGTTATCTGCAATGTGTTTGTCCAACTAGGTCCTTGTGTTGAGCTATAGCATCGTGCTTACAATCAGCTATTCCAAGAAAGTTTATATAAACAGTAAACCTAACCAGTTTTCTCACTATTCATCTATCAATGCCATTAATACAAGTGGGGAATAGTAATGGTTCTAGCACAGACCCCTGAATTATCCCACTTGTAATATTAGTACAGTTAGACTAAACTCCATTAATAATTACTTTTTACTCCTATTACTGAGCCATCTTCTATCCATTTAACAAACGTATCTCATACTCTAACTATATTGTGGCATCATAGTTAAATGCTTCTTGAAAATCCAAGTAAACCCAAACCACTCCTTTATCTTCATCTAGATAAGAAGTAATATCATGAAAAAAGTAAAAGGTTAATAAGATAGATCTTTCCTTTGTAATTCCACATTGGTTGTCTAACAAAATATTGAGCTTCATAAAATAATCCTGAAAGTATATTTTATCACACTTACTAAAGCTTTCACCATCCCTGAAGTAAACATGAATGGCCTAGAACTTACGTACCTGAACTAAATGGTTAGTTCTATCCCTAGTCATTTAAAGTTCAGAAAATGCTGCTACTTTAGAGAACGTCGTAAAGAGTTTACACAACAAAAGCGTTGAATCCTTGCTGGTCGACGGCTCTATCGACGTGTTAACAGATCAAATGTGGACTCCTAGAATATCGCTGTTACATTTGAATGAATGAGTCTTTTGCTAACTATCAATAATTTTGTGTCTTTTCTCACTCAATGCTACAAGTGTCAACGATTTAAACATACCGCTTCTAAGTTTGTTACTTGTCTTGAGTCCAAAGTGCTTATGTCAGTCTTACTTTATCTTGTTTGGGAGCTGACCTGTGGATGTTTAAAGTTCAGAAAATGCTGCTACTTTAGAGAACGTCGTAAAGAGTTTACACAACAAAGGCGTTGAATCCTTGCTGATCGACGGCTCTATCGACGTGTTAACAGATCAAATGTGGACTCCTAGAATATCGCTGTTACATTTGAATGAATGAGTCTTTTGCTAACTATCAATAATTTTGTGTCTTTTCTCACTCAATGCTACAAGTGTCAACGATTTAAACATACTGCTTCTAACTGCATGGGAAGCTTTTACCGTTCTAAATCTAGTATACCTAATCAGCATTCACAGTGTACCAAAGTTAATACTCATTGTGCACATTGTGACAATCTCCCACCATGCAGGATAATATTAGTATCCAAAGTGCTTACAGCCATATGAAATAAAACAAATTAAGATTGTTAATAATATCATTAGTACAGAATCCAGGAAGCTTCATCATTTCCTCTCCTCATTCATCATTAAATCAACCCACTTATTCTCAAGTCAAATTAAGTAACCTTCCAACATCTTGTTTCCTAGGTATATCATCCTTTTCTTTCCTTTGTTCAGACTTGGTTTGGGGATGCTGCTCCATTATTAAAGATCTTGAGTATCTTAGAACCTGTTAGTTAAATTTTACCTTGTATAGAATAATATTAGCAACAGTATCTCATGTCAGTCATGTAAACCCGTACCTGAAACTAGTTATGATTTTCTCCTTGGATGTCCTACCTCATCATACTTCTTACTATATCTTGTCTTAGTGTTTAGCAGCTTATGGTGTACCATTCTTCCTGAAATCTATATAAAACTTAACACTTCATTATCAGTTTTCTGTTGTCTCTGTACTACTTCAATTTTTTAAGGTATTCCTGCTTGACTCATTCTAATTTTTATTCTTTGCTTAATAGCCTCTTAAACGTGTGATCATTCAATGGCGGAATATCTGTGCTTTACTCGTTATAATATAATAATATAATGATCTTTCGTATAGATAGTGATCTTCATTGTCTGAAGAGAATAATTTGCCAGCTAGCCCTAGTTCTGATAAAGCTTCTGCTGTTCTTATTTCTTTGTTTGTATATTGTGTTTGTTCTATTTTAAACCTTAAGCTACTCTTTCTGCTTTATCTTTATTTTTTGGGGATTGCCTGTGTTTTATAAATCTGCTAATTGATACTCTTCTTTTAGTATAGACATCTTCCTTAACTCTTCTTAATTCTCTAGTTTTTGAATATCAGATAAATTTTATGATGATAATGTCTTCAACGTGGTCTTCTTCTGAATCCATTGTTAGTTTCTATCCTACATTCTATGATGTGGCTCATTTTGAATCTTTCTTCTATTCATCTGAATATTTTAATAATGATATAAAACAAAGACTTTGCATTGGCTCCCACTTGTTTAAGGCCCGTCATGGCCAGATGGTTCATTTATACCTTTTCTGAAAAAAGGAGCATCAGCTTTAGGTAATCAAGCAGTTACGTCAGGTATAAGTTTATCATCAGATGTCATACAAGGAAAACCTTTTGTTGATGCCAGAAAAAAAAAAAGTGCAAAATAAGGAGTTCAAGAGTTCACCCGATATCTCAAAGAGATTACTG